ATAGATAGATAGATAGATAGATAGATAGATAGATAGATAGATAGATATAGATTAGAGAGATAGAGAATATATATTTGAATTCCTCAGCCAGCTCAGAGGAACATATAATATGTAACATATTATGTTATTTATAGTATTGGATGGATGGATGGGTGGATGGATGGGTGGGTGGGTAGATAGATAGATAGATCAGTGGGTGGGTGGGTGGTTAGGTGGGTGGGTAGGTAGGTAGGTAGGTAAACAGACAGACAGGCAGACAGGCAGACAGGCAGACAAACCGACCGTCTTTCTTAATATAAGGGCTTGAATTCCAGCTACAGCAAGACGCTATTCTAGCTCACCCATCTGGGATGTTCTTTTCTCAAGATGAGAGGCCACCCCTAAATTCAAGAATCGGCTTTCATGTTCTCCACCAGTTGTAACTTTGCCTTCTTAGCAGCAGGGCTCTTCCTTGCCTTTGCCTTTACGTGGTTGAAACTAAACTAAAGTTGGAGCATGAATAGATACTATTTCCCAACGAAAGGTGGTAAATAGCAAAGGAAGCCAGGGGTGGCATGGCTTTTTATCGGAGCGATGTGCATCTCTTGAGCTTGTTGGCTTTTTTAAACTATTAGCTAGCCCTGGGGACCAGTACCTGGTTGAGAAACCCAGAGGCCCAATTGTTCCTTTACAGCAAGGTTGGAGCTAACCTTCTCTTAAAAGTGTCTTTGTTTCTGCACATTTTAAATCCATTTTTCTCAGGGGTGACTGAATGGCCCAAGGGGGAGGGGGTTATCCACAAAGGGGTGGGGTTGGCTCCTCGGACCTTCACAGCTGAGCCATGGGGTCCTCACCCTCAGGTTTTGCTTAGTTTGTCACACGTTGGTGCCCTTTGCTACTCTTGGTTTATTAAATGTGTTTGAATAATAATGGAGATGCTGTGATTTCTTTTCCCAATAAGGATCCTGACATTTGGGGGGAAGGGGGAAAGTACCAGGCTAAAAAGCCATGAGTTCACCTCACAAGGTTGTTGTTATAGGGAAAATAGGAGGAAGGTCATGAGTTTAAATGCCGCCTTAGCTATGAAAGTCACCTGGGTGACTTTGGGCCAGTCACCAGGAGGAGATGGAGAGTTCAAGTCCTGCCTTAGACATGGAAGCCAATTGGGTGGCTTTGGGCCAATCACTCTCTCTCCCTCTCTCTGCCCAACCTACCTCACAGGGTTGTTGTCGTTGTGAGGAAAAATTGGAGGAGGAAGTTGCATTGGATGTTTGCCTCTTCGGGTCATTTGTAAAAATAATAAAGGTGGGAAACTAACTAGCTAAATTAAATAAAATTAATTAATTAACTAAATAAATAGGCAATCTATATTTATTCTCAATAAATCTAATGGGTGACTCCACGAATTCACCAGGAGGAGAATTCAAGCTTACAAACATTTACAGTTGACAAGGCATCAGATACTAATGGAGAAATCCAAAGAAAAATATTTATTACCTAAATATAAGACATTGTTTTAAAACAGAATGACAGGGAGCAAAGATGTACCGACTGAATATCTCTTTCAGTATTAAAGCCCCTGTGTATTTTCTATACATAAAAAGCATGAGGGTTTTTTCCCTCGCTTTTGCGTGGTTTTTGTAATCCCGGTGGAATGTTTGTGCATTTTTATTGCAATCAGGTGCACTAATTGAGGGAATAAATGTTTTTCACCTCAGTGGTTGGGTTCACACAATCTGTTAAGCTAGGTTAAACTAAGGCCTGCTTGTTTGTAGTTTAGTCATTGCCGTCACCTGTTATGGGCATCCCGCCCTCACGCTGACCTATAATACAGTTTGTCGCTGTGTTTGGTAAACTTAGGTTTAACGATAAATGTGTTGTGTGAACTCCCAGCCAGGAGATCTTATGCTTCTGAAACACCTTGGATCAATTTCTTTGAAAGAATTAAAATCTGAGTAAGAAAGACACAGCTATTCAAAACTTCAATAGTCACTCAGCTCTTACTGAGATCCCGAGAGGCAGTCTTCAAGATATTATAGGTAATCCTTGACTTACAACCACAGTTGAGCCTGAAATTTCTGTTGCAAGCTGAGACATTTGATAAGTGAATTTTGCCCCGTTTTATGACCTTTCTTGCCATAGTTGTTAAGGGAATCGTGCAGAGGTGGTATTCAGCAGGTTCTAGCCAGTTGTGGAGAACCAGTAGCGGACATTTTGAGTAGTTCGGAGAACCAGCAAATACCACCTCTGACTGGCCCCGCCCCCATCTATTCTCTGCCTCCCGAGTCCCAGCTGATTGGCTGGGTCATCTTTAGTTGCCCTGCACAGGAGAAGGGAGCTGGAAAGCAGGTTAGTGGGGGGGGGGGGAATGGGGATTTTGCAGTATATCCTTCCCCTGGAGTGGGGTGAGAATGGAGATTTTGCAGTACCCTTCCCCTGCCACGCCCACCAAGCCATGCCCACCAAGCCATGCAATGCCTACCAGGCCACGCCATGCCCACCAAGCCACACCCACAGTACTGGTAGTAACAATTTTTGAATCCGACCACTGGAATCATGGTAGTTATAAAGTTAGGAACACAGTCGCAAAAGTTGATCACATGATCCCAGGACAGGGGATGCTCCAATGATCGTAAGTGTGAAAAACAGTCCTAAGTCACTTTTTCTAGTGCCATTGTAACTTCGGTCACTAAACGAACGGTTGTTATGTCGAGAACTACCTGTATATTCTCTAGGTGAGTAAGGAAGAGACAGCTGCAAATTTAATTTCATCGAGATAAAGCAGAAGTCTTGTTGATGAATAAGAAAATGTATTTGGGGCAGGGATTCAGCCCACATGAGAGATCGGACTAAAAGAGCAAGTCTGTACTTTATAAGCATAAGGTGTCCTTGAATTACAGACATTCATTTAGTGCCCATTCAAGTCTGTCATAGCACTGAAAGAAGTGACTTACGACCAGTCCTTGCACTTACGACCGTCATGGCATTCCCATGGTCATGTGATCAAAATGTGGATATTTCTTAACCAGCAGGTATTTATGAAGGTTGCAGTGTCCCGGGGTTACAGGTAGTCCTCGACTTACAACGGTTCATTTAGCGGCCATTTGAAGTTACAATGTCATTGGAAAAAAAAGACTTATGATGATTTTTCACACTTACAACTATTGCCGCATCCCCGTGGTCACATGATCCAAATTCAGATGCTTAGCAACTGACTCATATTTATGACGGTTGCTGTGTCCCAGAATCGTGTGATCCCCTTTTGCGACCTTCTGATCAGCAAAGTCAACAGGCGAATCCAGATTCACTTAACGACCATGTGACTAATTTAACAAGTGCAGGAATTCGCTTAACTGTGGCAAGAAAGGTCGTAAAACCGGGCAAGGTTCACTGAAGAAACGTCTCGCTTAGCGGCCTAAAGTTTGGGCTCAGTTGTGGTCGTAAGTCAAGGACTCCCTGTATCTGGTCGCCATCTGCCCCCTTCCCCATGTTCTGGTGACAAGCAAAATTAATTGGGGGATGGGAGCCCAATTAATGACCGCATGATTCACTTAACAACTAGAGTCATTTGCTTAACCACTGTGCCACAAAAGGTCATAAAAACGGTCATGACTAGTTTAACAATGGCTTTGATTAACAACGGAAATTCCAGTCCTAATTGTGCTAGTCATAAGTCAAGGGCTACCTTTACTCTCTGATCATCAGCTCCTGCAGTGAAGTTTAAGAATTCGTTGCAGAATTGCAATTAAGAGCAGCAATGGCAGCCATTCCCGGAACTGGTCATATTTAAAGATTATTTTTTACTACTTGATCACATCCCAGTTTGATTGTATCTGGAGCTATCCTGCAAACTACTCCAAAATTTTCAACTGGAAAAGAGTCAGGATTAAGGATAAGGTACAAAGAATGCTGGATTCTTCTAACCATATTTCTACCTGGGCACAGTCTCTGAATGGATTGTGTTAACCTTTAAAGCCCCAAATAACTTACGGCTTGATTAGAGTTGCGTTTCATAACCTTGGCAGGTGGAAGATGTGTGGACTTCAACTCCCAGAATTCCCCAGCCACAACTGGACTGCGACTGCAGAAAAGCGTGTTCTCTTCTCTCCCCAACACCTGCAGTTCCCAGAGACATTTTGAAAAAGAAAGATCAAAGCCACATACTTAGCTTTTTATTAAAATGACACTTAATTTTGGAAAGGGGATTCAATTTGCCAGTTCTAGAATTGAAAAATGATTTTTTTCCTTCCCTCCCTCCTTCCTTCCTTCCTTCCTTCCTTCCTTTCTTCCTTTCTCCTTTCCTCTCTCCCTCCCTCCCTTTTTCATTTTCTTTTCTTACTTCCATCCTGCCCTCCTTCTTCATTCCTATCTCCTTCCTTCCTTCCCTTTTTCTTTCTTTTTCTTCTTTCTGTCTCTCCCTTTTTTCTTTTTTCCCACTTTTCTTTTTCCTTCTCTTTCCTTCCTTCTTTCCTTCCCCTAGTTTCCTTTTTTCCTTCTTTCCTTCCTGCCTTCTTTCTTCATTCCCATCTCCTTCCCTCCTTCTCTCCCTCCCTCCCTCCCTCCCTCCCTTCCCAGAGATCCCTGCAAAGTTTCAAAGCCATCAATGAATTTCTGCTGGCTTCAGGTATGTTTACTCACCTAGTGTAAAAGGGGGAAAACATTATGTGGGCACAGCTATTTCAAGGCCAACTCAATAGAGCAAAGAATCTAAATGGGATTGTTTAAATGCTTTCCAGTCTTAATTTCAGCTTTATCTGAAGGCAGGGACCAGGGTAGGAACTGGTGGAAAGAAAGGAAGCCATCAAACACAGCAGGAACTGGCCATGAATCTTGAAACTGCAAGTCTGTTTTCTCCCAGAAAGCAAGTTTTTAACTCCACAGAATGAACAGTCACCGTTTCAAGGCAGAATGACATGGAAAGCAAATTCAAAAAGGATTGTTTGAAAAGGATGCTGTTGTGGTTTGTGGTCACCACAATTTTAGAAACGTGCTGAGACTCTAGGTCAGGGGTATCAAACTCAAGGCCCACGAGACAAATCTGGCCCACAGGGTGTTTAAATCTGGCCCATGAGGCTGGCTGGAAATCCAGTTTGACACCCCTGCTCTAGGGGGTCTAGGAAGAGTGCAGAGAAGAGCAACGAAGATGATGAAGGGACTGGAGAATAAACCATATGAAGAACAGTTGCGGGAACCAGGTATGTGTAGTCTAATGAAGAGAAGGATTAGGAGTGACATCACGGGTGGGATTCTACTGGTTTTGACCGGTTCTATAGAAGCGGTTGTTAGGATTCTGCGCAGTTCGGAGAACCAGCAAATCGTGCCCCTGGCTGGC